TTTCTTGTAAAATAGATTTTTAACACAAGAAAAACATTCGTTGTAAAAATAAAGCTTGCTCGTGGAATCGTTATGACCCAGGTTTATGAAATAGATTGTAGGAGAAAGAGTTTTTCGGTGAAATCGCTTTTGATTTAAATGAAGAAAGAATGCAAAATAAGTGAAGAAATATTTAGCAACAATTTTTGTAGAAACTGCTTCTAGAGTTCCAAAGGCAAGAATAAAGCCCATAAAACCGCATTAATTAATGGATAAGAGCTATGAACTACTACAAGGAAGACTTATGGGACATATACACTGGCCAGAAGTAGAAATGACACATATGATAATATAGTTTCCCATCTCAGAACTGGGGAGTCACGAGCCCACTGTAGGGCTTAAGGGGACTCATACACCTTAAACCCCTCATGATCTTCGAATATGTGACTATTGCAAGAATTGGGATATTTATTTATTTTAAAAGCAATTACTTCCAACGTTTTACAACTGATTACATGATATAGCTGCTTTGGAAACTAGTAACCAGAAAGTTTGTGTTGCCACAAATATTTTTGTAATTGAACCCTCTTTGTGACAAAATATTTCGCCATGTTTCCACCTTGCGCGCATGATATTTTAAAAATGGCTAATGGTAACATACTGAAATTGGATGGAATCTTTATATGGGCACTATTTTCTAATTGAACCAACAATCTGATGAATTTTTAATATTGAAAAATTTATGGACGAAAACATTAAAATTTTTTTAATAAATACATTTTAAAAACTCAACTGAAAAAAATAAAAATTTAACATGAAATTTTAGAATTTTAGGTTCACAGTAGTTTTCAGATGTTTAAAAGCTATATATTAAATATGGAATTAAATTATGAAGTAGAATATTTCAAACTGTGCACGCAAGTTGGAAACATGACGAAAAATGTTAACACAAAGCGGATTAAATTATAAAAATATTTGTGGCAACACAAACTTTCTGATGACTATTTCAGAAAGCAGCTATATTATGTAATCAGCTGCAAAACGTTGGTAGTAATTGCTTTTAAAATAAATAAGTTATCCCAGTTCTTGCAACAGTTACCTATTCGAACATCTTATGAGTTTTAAGGTGTATGAGTCCCCTTAAAGGAATGTAAACTTATGACGATATGCCAAACAAAGTATTTGGAAAATCAGTAGTGAAGAATTCGGCTGATTAAAATATAAAAGAAAGGTATAAAATTAAGCAATCATTATCTGAAAGCTGATTGTATTCATCAAGTCGCTACATGTGCAGTTTCTGTGCCGGCTTGACGAAATTTGACGTCTGCTCCGGCTGATGTAAAGGACTGTAATATGCCTAGGTAACATTTATTCTACAATAAACATTTTTAACGCAATGGAAACATTCAGCAAAATTGACCTGAACAGGAATGTTTTTCACAATTTAAATGATTAAACTTTTGCAGTTTTGCACGAAAGAAACTTTTAACTTTTCGTTATTATTTTAGGAGAAGCAAAAATTCCTTTCAGATTTCTGCTTTACAGAATTAGGTTCAAAATGGTACTGATACACGTTTTTCATTAAGGCGCTGGCGTAAAACAAGCTTTCTTGAAGAGAAGGCCTGCACAAGAAAAAAATTTTGAAACTATACTGTTTGGTTTATTTAAGTATGGCAAAGCACACTAGGGCTATCTGCCTACGGGAAGTGATGTCTTCGTGGAGGACTTTCTAATTGAAACTGGCTCGTATACACATTGGAAAAACCACAAAAGCGTCCTTGCAGCCAGCCCGTTCACGGGATTCGAACCTTGCACCGAACTACCAGAGTGCAGCGACTTTACCGCTCGGCCGCTGGTGGGCCAAACTATACTGTTAGTTAGAAAGTCAAGTATTTTAACTGTTTCTGGTATCTCTAAATGTAGCTATGTAGCAACTTTAGCCATTTATTTACTGGATTCTGCATCACACGAATTCTAATATTTTATAAAATATTTATTAATATTTTAGAACTTAATATATTAAGAAACATTGATATTTTTTAATCCGAAAATGCCCTGTTGTAAAGTATAAGTATTTAGAAAATACTTTGTAAATATTTATACAAGGCAGAGGTTTGAACGTCCGTTCGACGTTTATTTTAAACTGTTATGTTTGATGTAAATATAGGCATATATTAAAAACAAATCTTATTCCCCAATGCCATCATCAGCTGGCTTGTAGCACACTATAGGCTATTCAGCCGTGGCATAATGGGCAATATGTGACATTTTCTGTTGTTTGGAGACTGCAACGCGATTCACTCTCAGTAAATGATTTAGATATCACGACATTTCAGCTTTAAACATGCTTTTAGCCTGATGGTATGAGGCGTTATGTCAAGCCGTAGAGCAAAAATCGGACTTCACACAGGTATAATCACCTATCTTCTCTGACGTTGACATTTATCGGCAAACCCCGTTGTTAAGAAATCAAAATAGCAGATTCCAATATCAGTTCGGTTCTGGTGGCGAATAAAGATGGCGACAGCAACGCATAAACCTTAATTGTGAAATCGGGTTTTGAGGGTGAATTCCTCACCTCGAAAGTGCATTCGAACAAGGCTTCCAATTCATTATGCTTTGCAATATAGACATATTCTATCAAATTCAAGATGTCGCAGGATTTGTAGTGGCATTTGATTAACATACTCTTCATAACTACTATTAAGTTATATAGTCACTAGTAGGTAGCACGAAAAATGAGCAATGCACTCGCCAGGACTCGAACCTGGTGTCCGCCGATAACATCGCGGCAAAAACATCGTGGACGAAAACGTCGCGGAGAAAACAGCAAGGCGAAAACGTCGTACTACAAAACATCGTGGAAGAAAACATCGCAAAGAGAAAACATCGCAGTTCTAAAACATCGTGGTACAAAACATCGTCGTAGAAAATAAAGCGGTTCAAAAAACATAGCAGTTTAAAAACATCGTCGTGGAAAATATCGTGGTAAAAAATAAAGTATCTACAAATCATCGCATGACGATAACAACGCAGACATGCTTTTTTCAGGTTTTAATAATTGTAAATGGATATTTCCATAATGATTTGTGAGCGCAAGGTGTAAAGAAGTATAAATTTCACTTTCACATATTTTATTAACTAATAAATTTTTGCTGAAAACGTAAGAAAGAAACTTAAGCATAGAAAATTAAATGTAACTTATAGATTATACTTTTCATGAAATATTACCAGTAAAAACTTTATAAAAATGATTTATTAATGGCCTTTGTTAGTTAACTATGTCGGTTTAAAATTCTATTAAGTGCTATAAGTTGCATTAATTTTTTATGCTTAAGTTTCCTTTTTATTTTCCTCAGCAAAAAATTTATAATTAATAAAAAAGTATGAAAGTAAAAATTATCCTTCCTTCCATCTTGCGCTCACAATCATTATGGGAATATCCATTTACACTTATTAAAGCATGCCTGAAAAAAGCATGTCTGCGATGTTATCGTCATGCGATGATTTGTAGATACTTTATTTTTTACCACGATATTTTCAACGACGATGTTTTTAAACTGCGATGTTTCTGAACCGCTTTATTTTCGACGACGATGTTTTGTACCACGATGTTTTAGAACTGCGATGTTTTCTCCCACGATGTTTTGTAGCACGACGTTTTCGCCTTGCGTTGTTTTCTCCGCGACATTTTCGTCTGCGATGTTTTTGCCGCGATGTTTTCGGCTGTAACCCTCGAACCTGGCCGGTGTTCTCGACAACGCGTCCAGTGTGCTACCGTTACACCACGAAGGCACGCAGAAAGAAGGGAACAAAGACCTTGTATACTCCTCCTTTTAAAGGGAGACTGGGGCTAGGGGAACCCAATCTCCAAATCCTGATGGTGAAGAATCATCCTTCTCCACCTTTTATTTCGAGCGCCACTGTAGAGTTACGCCACTCTCGAATACTGGCCAAGTGTGCTGCCGCTACATCACGAAGGCATGCGCAAAGGAGGAAGAGAATACCTAGAATAATATAATGTTCCAAATGAAGGTTTCTCAGACTATGCACTGCAGTTTAGCGGATTTTGGTTTTTGTTATAATGATTGCTTTAGCTTTACTAACCAGTAATTTTATGTTAATTATCTTTACTGTTTTTCTCGCTTTCCGTTTTCCTTCCAGAATGCCAATTTCTAGTTCGCGAATATTCAGATGAGATAGAAAGAGATAGTATTTAAAAGGATGTTTTAGAAGGTAGCATTAGAGCGTGTTCTGCCTGCTGAAGGCCACGTTACTAGTTGAATCTCTTGATAGCTGTTTAACAGCATTTTTTATCGAAAATATATGTAGGCGTTCGGCCGCGTAATGGCAAACTTCACATTTTGAGTTAATCAATGTTAACGAATTTCTCTCAGTGTGCATGCTCAGTGGCGTATCATTGGCGTGGTAGGAAATAAATACTGACGACTAAGCATAAGCAAACCTGCACAAGTCTGTTCGTCATGTAGATCTTATCGACTGTTTACAATGGAAATTTGTTTCTGTTTATTGCATTTGCTTCTGTTTAATTTCAGTTTGGTTTATTTTGTGCATAAACATTACATTTAATATCAGTTATTTATAATCATTTCTTTGACTTTAATTATTCAGTGATTTAAACTGGATTTATTCCTTAATTTGTAAAATATATACGAATGAAACGTATGGCAAAAGCTTTTATTCCTCAGAAGTATAATTAATAAATATTCAGCTAATATATTTTGCAATGTTTCCTGTTTTGTAATCCTTCTTAAACGAAAATTTCCTAATTTACAATTATTATTTACATTCTAAGTAATGAAACAACTTAAAACTAACAAGTTTTAAAAACCTGAACTCTTTACGCTCAGATAACAGAAAATCAACAATATACCGTATTTATCCTCTTTTAAAATTGCGCCCAAATTCCCCTCTGGGCATGCACAGAGTGCGAAATTCGTTTAACATTGATCAAATAAATGTGCAGTTTGCCATTACGCCGTTCGGGCGACCTGGCGATGCCTGAATGCACGGCGTTACGGGCGGCTTCCCTGTGAAAGAGAAAAATAAAAGAACTTTCAGTGCATATCCACATAAAAACAAGTTATACAGATCCCAGGAATATTTACACGAGTACAGAAAATTTTCGCATTCACTATCGAAAACTTATATTTGCGTGACTTTGTGACTTTCCATTTATTGAGATAGAAACATTTTTACGACTCGTAGGCGTTTCCAAAAGAAAAATAGTAAAATATGAATTCTTACTTCTTTTATGGAGGATGCAGGCTGTGTCCACACTGCTACGATGGCCCAGAAAGGTATATGTGACATAGACAACAGTGCAAGACACCATCCGATACCATCGGCCCAGTCTGGAAAGTCATAGTCTCCATATTTCAAAGTTTCATGCTCCACCAATGAGAACACAAACACGAACTGCCAAGAAATATATTTACACTAAGTTACGCTAAAGCATTACATTTAAATCTTAATTATAAGGAAAACTTGTTATAATTATTTAATAATAATTTATAGCATTCATCTACATGCGTGTTTTCAAGATGTAAATACACTCATGTCCATAAATTAAGGATAATTCGGAGTCACGCGGAAATCGAACTCTAAAATAAATATATCACCTGTAAATCATCACTACCAAATCTTCAAGAATCATATGCAAATTTCAGGAAGTAAAACCAGATGACACGATGGTACTCACAATGACGAGAGTGTAAGAGAGTGATATATAATGGAATACAGGCAAAGAAGTAAATTGTTCGCAGGCGCTTCATAAGCATTTCAGTGCAAATAACCGAATAGTTATGACACAAAGGACGCATTTGGATGATTTTTTACGTGGTAGAATTATCGGCCGTCTGGAATGTGGGTGTACCCAACTGGAAGTATCAGACGAACTTGGAATTGCACAGAGTGTCATCTCCAGGCTTTGGCAACGATTCCAAGATGATGGTAATGTGAGTAGACGTTACAGCACAGGTCACCACAGAGTTAAAACGCCGAATGAGGACCAGTATTTAATTATTTATACCGGTATTTTTATTATTTTGGCAGTAACTGCCAAAAGAAACAGGCGGAGCACAGCCTCAGAACTGTCTCGTCAGCTCTCTTCAGCCACTGGTACGACAATTTCAAGGGAGACCGTGTACAGACGTTTAGGGCAGATTGGTCTATATGCTCGTAGACCTGTCAGATGCGTTCCACTTACTGCAACTCAGTGTCGCCTGCGGTTATCCTGTAGTAGAGAGTATGCATTGTGGACGCCGCAACAGTGGGCTTGTGTGATGTTTTCCGACGAGTCCAGGTTCAGCTTGCAGGCTGATTCTCGCCGGACTTTCATATAGAGAGCTTCAGGTACCCGTTACCACCAAGAAAACATCATTGAACGACACCGTTACGGTGGTGCAGGAGTGCTCGTTTGTGGTGGAATTATTCTGGGTTCCAGAACTGACCTGCATGTTCAAATTGGAACCACGACAAGTCAAATCTATCGGGACGTCATTCTGAAACAACATGTACGTTTGCTTCGTTGCGCCATGGGCGCACAATTTGTGTTTATGAATGACAACGCCCGTCCTCACCGTGCAAACATCGTACGAATGCTTTCAATCGGAGGATATCACCCGTATGGACTGGCCAGCATTCTCACCGGACTTGAATCCAGCAGAGTACGTGTGGGACATGCTTGGCCGACGAGTTGCAGCCCGTCAACCTCCTCCTACATGTCTACCGGAACTTCGGAGAGCATTTCGTTTTGAGTGGTGTAATATCCCCCAAGAAAAGATCGATAATTTGATACTCAGCAAGACTAGGCGTTGTACGGACTGTATTGCATCGTCTGGGAGACATACACTGAAGTGACAAAAGTCATGGGATATCCCATGACTGTCGGTCCTCCTTTTGCCCAGCGAAGTGCAGCAACTCGACGTGGCATGGACTCAACAAGTCGTTGGAAGTCCCCTGCAGGAATATTGAACCATGTTGCTTCTATAGACGTCCATAATTGTGAAAGTGTTGACGGTGCAGGGGTTTGGGCACGAACTGACCTCTCGATGATGTCCCATAAATGTTTGATGAGATTCATGTCGGGCGATCTAGGTGGCCAGATCATTCGCTGGAATTGTCCAGAATGTTCTTCTAACCAATCGCGAACAATTGTGGCCCGGTGACATGGCGCATTGTCATCCATAAAAATCCCATCATTGTTTGAGTACGTGAAGTCCATGAATGGCTGTAAGTGATCTCCAAGTAGCTGAAGGTATCCATTTCCAGTCAATGATTGGTTCAGTTGCACAAGAGGACCGAGTCCATGCCATGTAAAAACAGCCCAGACCATTATGGAACCACCACCAGCTTGAACAGTGCCTTGTTGACAACTTGGGTCCATGGCTTCGTGGAGTCTGCGCCACACTCGAACCCTACCATCAGCTCTTACCAACTGAAATCGTGACTCATCTGACCAAGCCACGGTTTTCCATTCGTTTAGGGACCAACCGATATGCTCACGACCCCACGAGAGTCGCTGCAAGCGATGTCGTGCTGCCAGTAAAGCCACTCGAGTCGGTCTTCTGCTGGCATAGCCCAGGGAAGACAAATTTCGCCGCACTGTCCTATCGGACACGTCCCTCGTACGTCCCACATTGGTTTCTGTGGTTATTTTATGCAGTGTTGCTTGTCTGTGAACATTGACAACTCTGCGCAGATGTCGCTGGTCTCGGTCGTTAAGTGCAGGTGGTCGGCCATTGCGCTGTCCATGGTGGGATGTTATGCCTGAAAGTAGCTACTTCTCGGCATACTCTTGACACTTGTGGATCTCGGAATGTTGAATTCCCTTATGATTTCTGAAATGGGATGTCCCATGCGTTCAGCTCCAACTACCATTCCGCTTTCAAAGTCTGTTAATTTCTTCATGCGGCCATAATCACGTCAGAAACTTTTTCACATGATTAACTTGAATACATATGAAAGCCTTGCCAGTGCGCCGCCCATTTGCATATTTTGTACGCTGTACTACTATCATCTGTATATTTGCATATTGCTATCCCATGAATTTTGTCGCTTCAGTGTACAATGTTTTAACAATTATACCAACCATGTAATATTTGTTTTTTTAAATAGGTTTTTTTTTTGTAATTTGCTTCAGGGAGAAAAATCGCTAATTTTTTTAATAATATCAAACATACAGCATCTTTTTTTGCTTTTTATCTTTTGTTTAATAAATAAGCTTTACAAATAAGTCAAATTTGTTTTGGTTCTAACTCTTCCTTTGCCTGATTTTGCATTATTCTTAATTTATGAGCATGAGTGTAGTTTGCAAATCCAACTGGCAAGCAGCAGATTTCTGTTCAAATTCAGCAGTGAAATGAGAAGCCGAACGACATAAGAAACCACTTCTCTTACTTAGCAAGGTCATATAGACACTTTTGGGGAAGCTTCATATCTATATCACGCGTACACAAAAATGAAGGTAAAATATTTGGACCATAAATATGCAGTGACTGAAATCAATAGTAATAACAATACATAATAGTAAAAAAAAAAAGAATTGTGTGTGCGTGTACTGCATTGCACACAACTAGAAAAACCTTCAGTTACGAAATTTTGCATGCAGATTATCCAATGTAGTTCGTGTGTATCTTAGAGCTATGTTTCAAAATTCGACTTACATTTTTTATCACACACTGAAGAGGTTTTTTACACATTTTCCCTTAATATCGAGTTAAAGAAAGCAATTTTCTAGATGAATTTAATTTCGAATCTGTAGCATAGTTCAACACAGCTTTGAAAATTTTTCCATAATCGAATATTCCTCTACCCCCCCAATCCCTGTATGTTCATTATTTTTAAATGCCGACATAGGAAATGTGTCTCTCTTTTAAAATGTACTGAAACCCTCTGAAACCATAAAACCGATTCTTCAGATACCTTTAAAGCAGGAGTAATAAAAGCTATTCGCCAAGAGATTTTCAATGTTTAATACATCGTTTAAGAATTTCACTCGCCCAGTTATAAGCTGCAGAAAAACAGCTCCTCAACACGATTTTGTGGCCCCCCAACGGCCAAGCGGTAAAATCCCTGAACACTGGTAGTTCGGTTAGGAGATTCGAATCCTGCGAACGGGCTGGCTGCATGGGCGTTTTCATAGGTTTCCCCATGTGTAACGTGTTAATACGAGCCAGGTTTCCTTAGAAAGCCCTCCACGAAGGTATCCTTCCCTTCCGTAGTGCGTTAGGGCGAAACACATAAATAATAATAATAATCCGATTTTATTTAGAAAATGTATAGTTCCACATGCTTCTTTGTTACCCTGCAGAGTCATTAGGTTATACTGTAGCAGGAAACGTGAAAAATGTGCAGTGCTCTTGCCGAGACTCGAACCTGGAACTCTCGAATACGCTCTGCGTGTGCTACTGTTACACCACAAAGGCATGCTGGAAGGAGCGAGGAAATACCTTACAACTCTGAGCTGTATTCTTTCACTTTTATGGACCGTATAAAGTACTTACTCCCTCCATAACGTATGCTCTCGTGGTGTAAGTGGAAGCATGCTAGATGGGTATTCGGAAAAACAGGAGTTCGAATCCCAGAGAGGATATTGCGGATTTCTTCATCAGTTTTTTGGCATCGAAATAGCCTAATGATTCTACATCCTTTGCAAAAACTGTCTTTCATTTCTAAAAAAAAAATTATTTTTCTATGCCCTAACAATGGACATATTGTTAGTGATAGAAAGCATAACATTGTCCATGATAATAACAATATGATTTTACCTAGAATGTAAAATGATTCATACAATTGCTTAGTAAATCTATATTATGGTTCCGATGTTGAAAACCTCATTTATGTCATATGGGGGTATTTTTTCATATATCTGTCTACCAATACTATTTTAACTATTACTATCCTCCTTGTGTAATTATTGGTATGAGGAATTTTCTGGCTGATTGAACGTATAACCAGTAAGCAGTAAATAAAAAAAAATGCTTCAAAACGTACGGGATTTTGTTATACGTTATATGTTTATTTATGTTATAATGTTTCTTAAATACTTAATCTAGATAAAATGTCGAGGATCCTTGTGAACTAAGTAGCGAATTAACGCTCACTTCAAGTAGTTGCTACAGAGATTTAGAAAGCGTTAAAATATCCTATTATCCACTCAAAGAAATAATAACAGATGGCCCCCTTCTCGGGCTTACGGGAAAGCCTCCACTTGGGCTTTTAAATCAGGATAAGAAAATAAGAAGCTAATCTAATACTAAACTATGTAGGCTAAGCTGAAGCAAGAGCCAAATACCTAACGTAGTCGGCCCTTAAATTAACCTAGCCACGATTCTCAGCAGGCCCGTCCAATAGGCCGAGTGTAATACATTCAAGAACGAAGTAGCCCGAAGGTAAACAGGCGACACTTAAAACTC